CCTCGTCATCCTCTGCACAGTCATGAGCCTGGTCATCCAGGGTCTGATCTGCTCGGACCTGCCTCGTCATCCTTTGCGGCGGTCTTGAAACAGCCAGGGTCTGATCTGCTCGGGCCTGTCTCGTCATCCTCTGCACAGTCATGAGCCTGGTCATCAAGGGTCTGATCTGCATGGACTCGGCTCGTCACGATCTGCACGGTCAGGAGGCTGGTCATCCAGCACTTGATCTTCCCTTCCTTGCCTCGACACGATCTGCACCGTCATGAGCCTGGTCATCCAGGGTCTGATCTTCATGGGCCTGCCTCGACACCATCTGCACGGTCATGAGCCTGGTAATCCAGGGTCTGATCTGCTCGGACCTGCCTTGTCATCCTCTGCACAGTCATGAGCCTGGTCATCCAGGGTCTGATCTGCTCGGACCTGCCTCGTCATCCTTTGCGGCGGTCTTGAAACAGCCAGGGTCTGATCTGCTCGGACCTGCCTCGTCATCCTCTGCACAGTCATGAGCCTGGTCATCCAGGGTCTGATCTGCTCGGACCTGCCTCGTCATCCTTTGCGGCGGTCTTGAAACAGCCAGGGTCTGATCTGCTCGGGCCTGTCTCGTCATCCTCTGCACAGTCATGAGCCTGGTCATCAAGGGTCTGATCTGCATGGACTCGGCTCGTCACGATCTGCACGGTCAGGAGGCTGGTCATCCAGCACTTGATCTTCCCTTCCTTGCCTCGACACGATCTGCACGGTCAGGAGCCTGGTCATCCAGGGTCTGATCTTCACGGACCTGCCTCGTCATCCTCTGCACGGTCATGAGCCTGGTCATCCAGGGTCTGATCTTCACGGACCTGCCCCGACACGATCTGCACGGTCATGAGCCTGGTAATCCAGGGTCTGATCTGCTCGGACCTGCCTCGTCATCCTTTGAGGCGGTCTTGAAACAGCCAGGGTCTGATCTGCTCGGACCTGCCTCGTCATCCTTTGAGGCGGTCTTGAAACAGCCAGAGTCTGATCTGCTCGGACCTGCCTCGTCATCCTCTGCACAGTCATGAGCCTGGTCATTCAGGGTCTGATCTGCTCGGACCTGCCTCGTCATCCTTTGCGGCGGTCTTGAAACAGCCAGGGTCTGATCTGCTCGGGCCTGTCTCGTCATCCTCTGCACAGTCATGAGCCTGGTCATCAAGGGTCTGATCTGCATGGACTCGGCTCGTCACGATCTGCACGGTCAGGAGGCTGGTCATCCAGCACTTGATCTTCCCTTCCTTGCCTCGACACGATCTGCACGGTCAGGAGCCTGGTCATCCAGGGTCTTGATCTTCACCTTCCTTGCCTCGACATCCATCTGCACGGTCATGAGCCTGGTCATCCAGGGTCTGATCTTCACGGACCTGCCTCGACACGATCTGCACGGTCATGAGCCTGGTAATCCAGGGTCTGATCTGCTCGGACCTGCCTCGTCATCCTTTGAGGCGGTCTTGAAACAGCCAGGGTCTGATCTGCTCGGACCTGCCTCGTCATCCTCTGCACAGTCATGAGCCTGGTCATCAAGGGTCTGATCTGCATGGACTCGGCTCGTCACGGTCTGCACGGTCACGAGCCTGGTAATCCAGGGTCTGATCTGCTCAGACCTGCCTCGACACGATCTGCACAGTCATGAGCCTAGTCATCCAGGGTCTGATCTGCTCAGACCTGCTTCGACACGATCGGCACCGTCAAGAGCCTAGTCATCCAGGGTCTGATCTTCACGGACCTGCCTCGACATCATCTGCGGCGTCCGGGCCTGGTCATCCAGCACCTGATCTGCTCGGACCTGCCTCGACACGATCTCGGCGTTTATGAGCCTGGTCATCCAGGGTGTGATCTATTTTTTTTTATTATCTGATCTCCCCGAACCTGCCTCGTCGTCCTCTGCGCCCTCGGGGTCTTGTCTGATCTCCCAAACCTGTCTCGACATTCTCATCCTCTAGGCCTGGTCCTCTTATACGATCTTGTTGATTGATCCTTATTATTGATCTTCAGAGCCGGAAGCCAAGGTGTGCAACCTTGGCATCAAAATTACATTGGACTGGACATACATGGTCTCAATAGTTTCACCAGAGTTACGGTAATTCAAGTACAAGACACCAAAACGGCAGTCAGACATCACAAATACAACACATCACGGCACTCAGACAAGGAACACCCCGGACATTTACAACAAGGCAGCATCAGATTTAGAAATCAATCACACAGACCTAAAAGATATCACCAAAACTGCTTCAAAATACAACAATAAATAAATTTGCAGTCAAACATTGCAAGTACAAGCCATCACAGCACGAACACAAAGAACACCACGGCACGCTCAAATACATGTACAACAAGAGACAACGCCGGGTTGAGAAAACAACAAACCATAGAACAAGAAGTCATCACAAAAAAGACGTCACAAAAATACAGCAAAAATTAGTGTAAAATACGAGCAAAATTACAAGAAAAATACAAGTCAAGCCATAAAAAGACACAACGAGAACCACCTAGGGAGCGACAGGTGCACACAGGCATCCCCACAGAGGGACCCCCGAGACGGTGCAATAAAATACAAGGAAAATCGCAAGAAAAAAAATACAACGACAGCCCCTGAGGAAGCGCGACAGGCGCACACAGTCTACACAGAAGGACCCTCGAGACGATGCCTGCCTACGACGAGCGCAGGCAGACACCACCAAAGTGGCGCTGGATGTGGCCAGCGTTCATCTGATGGACCAGAGCCACAAGAAAAAAAATACCTCGGTATTTTTTCACAAAGCGACTTTCCAACGAGCATGCTCGATTCTAGCTTTCTCGAGTGTGATCTGATGTCAGGCTCCAGAACGTCTGCACAGATTTGACGCCAACATCTGATCGGATGTGAATGTGTTCGGCCCTGGTCTAATCGGCCTTCGTCTGCTCGACCCTGATCTTTTCGAGTTTGATCTGCTCAGGTGTGATCAGATGTATTTTTTTGTCACTAACAATTTTTACCACGCCTGATCTGATCGGATGGGCACGTTCGCTCTTTGTCGTAAGCCAGCCAGCCAGCCAGCCAGCCAGCAGATTTGCAAAGGAGGACAAATCAGCGGTGGTTCCGTTGTCGCAATAAATTATTCTCACGGCTTTGTCTTCTCTCCTTTCTTGGGATTACTTGTGAGAAAAGCGAGTGCCCACATTCATGTCGCAAGTCCTCTGGACGATTGAGAATCTGTTGTTGATCTGATCGTTTTCGAGAATTTGGCAGGTTGTTGTTCTCAAAATTCATTTGATGTCAATTAAATGTGTGTGTGAACAGGATGCCTTGTTTACACCACGATACTCATCAGCAGACCATCTACACCAGCTCCAACACTGATGCGCTGGCTTTTTGGGATATGAAGTGAGCACGAACGAATTGATAGTTTACAGGGTCTTTGCGAGCCTAATTGAGTTTCTAAACGAACCACGCAAAAGGTGGATCAACGCGCAAGGGTCCTTGGACCAAGCGAGTAACTGTCACGATTCAGAGGCTGACGAGAGATAGTCATCGTCTGCTTCCTTCAAATACACCATTTTGATGAACCCGACCTCGCCTTCGTGACGGCAAAGCCATTCACCACCTTCACGAGATAAAATCTCCACAAGGGTGCCGGGCCGCACCTACAGAAGGGTGATCGTGAGATGATGGAGAAAAAACAGCCATCATACCGCACGGGCCAGTGCAATTAGCCGGGCACGGCAAGACAAGAAAGCATGCAGTACACAGCAAACACACATCTAACCAATAGGGCATCGCTTTGGTAAGCGTTGGCGACATAGGATGCCTGAATGCGCGCTCGTGCAAGTGCGGGCGTGCGGGCGTGTCGTGTCTTGAGAACAGCAGCAGTGTCATTTGTGTCGGAAAGTGGGGGTAAGCTTGCACCCGTAGAACCGTTTTGTTCTTGAATGGTTCCTGAAGCAGCGGCATGTGCTGGGTTTGTATGGTCACGGTGGCGGCGGAAAGTGCCCCGCAATGAGAAGCGGCGATTCTTCTCGCGAGCTGGCGACTGAACAGGCGAAGAATTGACCGAGGCTGGAAGAGAGTGACGCTTGGCTGTGACGCTCGTGCGCCTTGCAGCCGCGATTGCATCATCGATGCTGAGACCACCGGCCTTGACCTGCACACAGAAAGCATGGAACAGGGGGTTGAGCAAAGGATTTGCGATGCTGGGGCAGTCAAGACGCCTCGCACTGCCTCGCCTTTTTGTAAAGATGGTTTGGCGGGGGCATACCTGGGACATGAGATCAAGGAGTTCATCATTGCTGACACTCAGGTCTGCAGCCTTTGCGATACCCGCTTTGCCATCATCTGACGCCATGGCGTTGATGAACAGGCACACAAATCACGCGCCTTGCATGCATTACTCGTGAAGCTTTGGGGTGGTGCGGTGGGGATACAGCCTGCCAGTTGAAGACAAGAAGTATGTCAACTTCAAACAGAAGCACAGGCTGCGATGACCATGGCCAAGGTGCCTGTTCTGCCAGATACGCCTCGTGACAGTGAAGCGGCAGCAAACAGTGTAGTTGAACAGCTCAACAAGTCAGTGAGAGAGAAAGAGAGAAAATGAGGAGAGATGAGAGAGAGAGAGAGAGAGAGAGAGAGAGAGAGAGAGAGAGAGAGAGAGAGAGAGAGAGAGAGAGAGAGAGAGAGAGAGAGAGAGAGAGAGAGAGAGAGAGAGAGAGAGAGAGAGAGAGAGAGAGAGAGAGAGAGAGAGAGAGAGAGAGAGAGAGAGAGAGAGAGAGAGAGAGAAAG